TCTCCGGCTCATTTGACAGATAAGGAAACTGAGGCAACCAGGGTGAAGTAACTTGCCCAGGGTGACACAGCTAGGAGTGTCTAAGGCTGGATTTGAACTTGGGTCTTCCCGGCTCTAGGTCCAACACTTCGGGACACTATGGCACCCTTGGAGACTGGGATGGTTTGGCGCAGCATGTATCTCCAGAGTTCCCAAATGCAGGGTTTTTTCTGTTATACGTGGCAGTGCTTGAATTAGATAAAGACATTTATCAAGGAAGCTGGTTTGCTGGTGAAAGAGTGAAGGTGGCACAAGGTGAGGAGCCCACGCCCCAGATTCATTGCCTAAGTAACAACAGGGTGAGAACCTCTTTCTTCTTCCCACTTCTCCCCCTCCCCCAGCCTTCCTTGATCCCCCCACAAAGATCTCTTCCTCCTCTGAACCCTCCATCCTTCCTTGTCTGCACCAGTCACTCGTCCCTGGCATATTCTGCTTTGTGGCACCTCAGTAGTGCAGGGCAAAGACTGCATTTCTAGACAAAAGACTTACGTTTGAAATCTCACTTGGCCACTCACTGACCTTGGGCAAATTGTTCAACAGTCCGAGCCTCGGTTTTCTGATCTATTAAATGGGAAGATTACATTAGGCAGCCTCAGAGATCTCTTCCAACTCTAAATCTGTGATCTTCTGATTCATTGACTCCCTAGAAGACTTACAGCCTAAACCTTTCTATTGAATGTTTGAGCATTGAATGGGGACTCTAGAGTCCTGGATTCTTGTCCTGGTTCAGTTTGTAATTCAGGTCGACAAACATTTATGAAATGCCTGCTGTGTACGAGGGCCTCTGTTGGGTACTAGGGAATACAAAGATGAGAAACAATAGAATAAAAATAAAAACTTTCTTCTGTCCTCCTCCATCTCTTCCTGAGTAACTCCTACCTTCCTTGCATTCCACTCATGAAGGAGCTGGGTGACTTTAGGAAAGATGGTCAGTCTCTCTGAGCTTGTCCAACATGGTCACTGGTTACAGGTGGATGGGACCTTAGGGATCTAGAATAACTTGCTCATTTTGCAGACTAGGAAACTGAGGTCCAAGGAAGTTAAGTGACTTGTCCAAGGTCACATAGGTAGCATGATAGTCTTAGATCTGGAAGGGAACCTTACAGGCCATGGGGTCCTCACTTTTACAGATGAGGAAACTGAGGCACAGAGCGCTCAAGTGATTTGACCACAATTACGAAGTATCTGAGGCAGGCTTTTTTTTTTTTTTTTTTTTGACTAGGCAGTGGAGTCAAGTGACTTGCCCAGAGTCACACAGCTAGTTAAGTGTCAAGTGTCTGAGGTCGGATTTGAACTCAGGACCTTCTGACTCCAGGGCCGGTACTCTATCCACAGTGCCACCTAGGCAGGCTTTGAACCCAGGTTCTCTGCCTCTAGAACCAGGACTCTTTCCACCATACCATCCTGCCTCCATTTCTAGGGGTGGTCTCTGAGGTTCCTTCCTGCATTGACACTCTAGGATTCCTCCCCAAGAAGCATATATCCCTCTTAGGCACTCCCTTCACAGCATCCTTGGGAGGTGAGTTGGAGCCAAAACCATTATCCTTCTTTTACAGGGTCAATGGGAGGGTTAGAATGGAAAGAGGCAGGGCTTTGGAGCTGTGGGGAGCAAGCTTGTCCAATGTTGCTCAGACACCTTCAGTTTCCCTGGCACTTAATGGAGTTGTATTGAGAATCCAAACATTTTCCCTTTTGTTCCCTGTCTTCAGCATCCCCTTTGGCAGATGGGGAGAGGGGGAGGTGGGATTGCCTGTTTCTTAACTATTAGCTGGGATTCACAAGCCAGCTGGTTTTTTTTCCCTTAAACCCCCCCCCCCCCCCAACGATTGGTATTATCCCTCCATGGACTTTGGATGGGGAAAGAATTTGTCCTTATTGTGTATCTGACAATAGGGGCCTTCTTGAGTTCTTCTGCACAGCCAAGTGCAGCCCTTGCATAATCAGAGGGGTGTTCCCCCCCCCCTCCACCCCCAGGCCTGTATTTAGTTCATATAAGAATGCAGGAGTGAGTCCAAGAGCCACCCACATCCTGGTTGTCTACATGGTCTAGACATGGGTTCACAGCCTGCCTTCCCTTCCCCCCTGCCCTGCAAGAAAAAGTATTAAAGATCCCAGGGGTCAAAGAAGAAAATGAAGGATTTTGAAGCAGATTTCTGCAGTTGTAGCAGGATGAGAGAAACTGGGGGTACTTAGAAAGGGTGATACTGTCTGGTGTTATTACATTGGCCTGAGGAAGGAGCCCTGGTGCTCAGCTGGGGGATAATGAGACTCTGGTAAGGTTTGTTTCTGGTTCATTCTGTGAGGCCCCCTCCACCCTGCTGGTGATTGGGGGGTGGGGAAGTAAGAGAAGGCTAGCCTTTGTCTCCTGTGTGGATAATGAAAGGATTGGCCCAAATAACCTTTTTTATTTTTTAAATACATTTTAACTCATATCTTTGATTTTTACATCACCAAAATTTCCCAACGTATTTTCCCTCCCAGAGAGTTATAGAAGTAAAAAAAGAGCTTGGCAAAAGGACCAGATGGTCTTTAAGGTCTTACTTTAAAAAATTAAATTTAAAAAATTCAATTAACAATCTGTTTTCTCTCTTTCCCCTTTATCAACTCCCTGATGGGGAAAAAAAAAAAAAAAGAAAAACAAAACCTTTCAGCCCCTTGGGGGTGGGGGAGGGGGGGAGAAACACAAAATTTGAAGCCAAAGGACCTGGATTCCACAAATAGCTTTGCACCTTCCTAGCTTCGTGGCCTTTGGGAAGTCCGAGATAGCCTCAGTTTTCTTATCTGTAAAATGAGACTACTAACACTTTCCCTACCTCTCTGGTAGGAGGAGTGCACTTTGCAGATTGTAAACTACCCCATAAGTGCAAGCAGTGGGATTAAGGTGTTCCCAAGAGCTTTCCCCACCACCCTCTGACATAGGGCCAAGAATAGAAGTAGGCTGCTATAAGAATTTGCCCTGGAATTACACATAAAACAGAGCTGGGAACCTTTAGCACAGGGAATATCTGAGCTGGGAGGGAGCTTAGAATAGGGAATATCAGAGCTGAGAGGGGCTTTAGAATAGGAGAAGTCAAGAGCTGGGATAGCACTTAGAATATGGAATGTCAAAAGTGGGACGGATTGGAGAGAGGACGAGTTTCAACCTCTTCATTTTGTTGTTGGTTATAATAAAGCAAGTCTTGGAGAAGTGAAATGATTTCCCCAAGGTTACAGTCAGGTGGTCAAGGCTGGACTTGAATCCAGATCTCCTGATTCTAAGTCTTTCAATTATACCAGACCTCACTAATTGATTGTTTGATCAATGCTTATGTTCCAGTAATGTTCCAATTTTGTTCTTGATGGGAAATTGGGGTTGGGGAGAAAATCAGTAGTTGAGATGGTCATTACCTTTGTCTGTGGAAGGAGAAAAAAAAGTTGAGGATTATTGAAGCTGTCTATCATTCATTCTGTGATCTGGAGATGAGGCTTGGTTTGATGGCGTAACTTACTGCGGATGGGTTTTCTCTGGGGAGTTTTGTGCTCTCACCATCCAGATAGATAACTGACCTGTCTGTCATCCGTGAAAGGAGACCTTTGGGTCAGAGTTGAGGTCACAGGAGGAGAGTCTCAAGGGGGTTGCTGGTACAACAAACCAGGATTTCCATAGCTGCCAGCAATGTTTTTGGTTCATTTTTTTCTTTTTCTTGATGCCAGAACAGGCAGATCCCATGTTTCTAGACAGGGATGGCTCCACTGGCAGGCAGCTTTTTCCTTGTTAGGTTGTCTGTTGTCATTTTTTGACCTTTCATTATCACTTTGGTTTACATGAGGGTTAGATAAACTGGCCCGTGGTAGTTTTCTTCACTAGCTGTTTCATTTAATCCAGTAACTCTCTTCAGAGACCACATTTACCTAGAGTTTTTGGCATCTGATTCGGGGGTGGGGGGGCAGCTCAGTCAGTCTCTTCTTGGGGGTCAGCTTGACATAGGTACTAGACTGAAGAGTCAGGAAGACTGGAGATTGAAAGCTGGCCTTGGGGTCAAAAAAATCAGGTTTGAGTCCTTCCTCTGACACGCTGACTGTGTGACCCTGGGTAAGTCATCTAACCTTTCAATGCTGCAGGCAACTCTCCAAGACTCTGAATTCCCTAGAAGGTGTCAATCTCCATGGGTAGAAGACTTTCACTCACTGGGAGTTCCCTTTATTGATGAAATCTCAAGTTTAGTCTGTCAGTGACCATTTGTTAAGAACCCTATTATGTGCCTGGATACAAATGCAAAATCTTTATAAAATACTTTCCTTATGACAACCCTTTGAGATGGGTTAGTGCAGTATTATTATCCCGTTAGAGAGATGAGGAAACTGAGGCCAGGAGGGGTAAAGTGATTTGCCTGTGGTCATAGGGCTGGACTGGATGACATACGTAGCTTGGGCTCCAACCCAGGACTCTTGGTTCCTTTTTTACTTGATGTATTGAAGGCTGAAGTTTCTTGTCAGTTTCCGAAACATGGTGAGTGGGGAAAAAAGGTGGCGTCTAAACTGGTCATGCTCATTGCATGTGATGGAGGCTTTGTTCCACAGTCACAGATGTAACAGCTGCCTGTGTGGATTGGATGGTGTATGTGGCCCATTTAATCCTTGGCACTCTTTAAACTAGGTTTTAGCTTGCTTTGTTTCAAGATGGTGACGTTCTGTTGTCAATGGTGTGATTGGCCCCCATCATTGTTAAGCATCAGCCACAGGGAGACCCCAAGCAGGAAGACCCTGGTCACAATTCATGTTTCCTGTGTCTGTGGGAAGGGTGTTTTTGCTATAAATGAAAGAAATGACAGTTTTTCTTTTTTTTTTTTTTCTTCCCAATCTCTGTTTTCTTCATCGTGTATCTTGCCAAGTGACATCTGTATTTATTTTCCCAACTCTTTCAATGGCTGATTTGCATCTGTTTAGATCCCTGAATAACATTTCATTTCCTGACTTTCTAGGTTGCCATAAAATCCATCCGTAAGGATAAGATTAAAGATGAACAGGACATGATTCACATCCGACGGGAGATTGAGATCATGTCGTCCCTCAGCCATCCCCATATCATCAGCATTTACGAAGGTCAGTGATGCTTCCCTGGCACCCCCTGCCAACCCCATGTCTCAGACCAAAGAGTCTGTCAGGGAATTATGTGTCTGGTGAAAGCCAGTCTTTAGGGTTCTGTTTACAAAATGGCCAGGTGGGATGGCAGCCTACTTAACCCTCGTGATGACCTTGGATGCACCTGGTTAGACGTACTTATAAAATATCATTGGTGTGTGATGAGCTGTGTCCCATCAGTTTCTTGTCACACAGCAACCCAGTAACCATGGCTGCTTTCTAGGATAGAGTCTGCCTACAGACAAACAAAAACAAGCAAAGACAGCTATTTGGGGGTGGGTGGGGTGGGGGTGTATTTGATTTAACAAGCATTTATTTGTTTATTTTTAACATACGTTTTCTTTGTTATCTTTTGTTTTATATCATTGAAAATCCTATCCTTATAACAAAGAATTTTTTAAAAAAAGAAACTGGCCCCCCAGCAAAACTGATCAATACATTGAAAGAATCTGACAACATGCGTAATTTAGCAAGCACTTATTAAATGCCTACTGTGTACAACACATAATGCTTTGGGACAAAGGATTAAAATTCAAATATGAAAGAGTGTAGTGGACAGAGAGCTGGCCTCAAAGCCAGAAAGAACTGGGCTCGTGTCCTGAATCTGAGATAGAATGGCTGTGTGACCTTGTATAGATCACTTAACTTTCCAGTGCTCTGGGCAGCAATTTGAGACTATACATTGTAGAGAAGGTGTAAGAGTTCCCTGTACCAGGGAACTGGCACCTGTTGCCCAGGTGTCTTCAAGGAGCAGATTATATACTTTCTTTTATTTCTTTGTTTCTTTCTTTCCTTCCTTCCTTCTTTCTCTTTCTTTCTCTCTCTTTCCTTCTTTCTCCTTTCCTTTTTTCCTTTCTTTCTCCTTCCCTTCTTTCCTTTCTTTCTCCCTTTCTTTCTTTCCTTCCTTCCTTCCTTTCATCTTTCTTTCTTTCTTTCTTTCTTTCTTTCTTTCTTTCTTTCTTTCTTCCTTACTTCCTTCTTTCCTTCCTTCCTTCCTGTCTTCCTTCCTTCCTTCCTTCCTTTCTTCTTTCTTTCGTTTTCTTTCTTTCTTTCTTTCTTTCCTCCTTTCTTCCTTTCCTCCTTTCCTCCTTTCCTCCTTTCTTCTTTTCTTCCTTTCTTCCTTTTTCCCTCCCTCCCTTCCTTCCTTTCTTCCCAGCTACTAGCCCAGTGCCCGGTGCACAGTAAGTAAATGCATGCTGGCTTGAGCTGACTTACGTACAGCCTGTGCACAGATAAGCAAATATAAGAGAGTCTGGGGAGGGCGAGGGTGAGCCCTTGGGGAGGGTGGAAGGAGGCTTTCCAGAGGAGACGGCACCTGGGCCAGGATCCCATTTCAGAGAGGAGGAAGCTTTGGGATGGAGTAGTCTTAGAGCAGCCGTGAGTTGTTCAAAATGCTGTTCTTTGATAAACACATGCCCTGATCTTGAATAAATGAATAAACTCCAAACAGTCCCGAGGGACACCAGGAGAGAGGGGGCTACTCAGCCGGCAGATGGTTTGCAAATGTAGCCTGAGTTATCTCTGGTATATACAGAGGAGGAGGGTGAGAGGGGGAAAGACAGGGGAGGAAGAGGGAAAGATGGCAGGGGGAAGGAAAGGGAGAAAGGCAGAAAGTCTAAGTCTCAGTTTCCTCATTTGTAAAATGGAGACAGTAATATCTGCAATATATCAACCCTCTCTGGGTTGAGGCAGTGTGGTGCAGTGGATAGAGCCTTTGACTTCAAGTCAGGAAGACCTGGGCTCAAATCCTGCCTAAGTAGGTCACTTACTCTCCTTAGACCTCAGTTTCCTCACCTGTAAAATGGAGGGTTGGACTTGATGGCTTCCAAGGTCTCTCCCAGCCCTACATCTGTGCTCCTGTGTGTGCTGAACACTGTAACCGTGAAGTGTTATATGAGTGATGTCAGCTATAACTAATATTAGAAACTGACTTTGGTAATGTTTCATCCTGTGTGTTTGCTAGTATGCTTTTCTCAAGTGTTTTGGGAGGTTTTTTTGGTTGTGATTGTTGTCAAACTGTGAGTATGCTTGTCTATTTCTATTAGCAGTTGTTGGAAGGTTAAATAGGGCCAGGATTTGGATGGCCAGGAGGATGACAGACTCATGGAGTGGTTTCATTTTTTTTAAATTTAAATTCTTTTTTTTTACTCACTAAAAGTTCACCTTCTCTCTTTCCCTTCCCTCCTTTCCCCTCAATGAGAAAGCCTGGAAAACAAATATCCTGCTACAAACGTGTGTAGTTCAAACGAAATAAATAAATTCTTACATTGGCCACGTCCAAAAAACCCGATATCTCAATGTGTACTGAGACTCATAGCATGTTAGAGCTGAAAACATAGGGACTCAGAGGGTTATCTACTTCAACTTTGCTCATTCTACAATGGGGAAACTGAGGCTCAGAGAAAAGACTTGTTCTGAGTCACACAGCTAGTCGAGGTAGCCATCAGTGGCGTCTTCCTGGAGCTAAGCCCAAAGCTTAGAAAATGGAAGTGACTTGTCCAGGATCACACAGCTAGTAATACCTGAGACAGGATTGGACCCCAAGAGTTCCTGACTCCCCAGTCCAGTGTCCTCCTATCCTCTGCTGCCTCTCATCAATTCCTTTGTCCCCTTGGTGTGGACTGGTGGAAAGACCATTATACTGGGCTCCAGAAAGTCCCCAGTGACTTTGTGATACTGGACAAGTGAATCCCCTTCTCTGACCCTCAGTTTCTTCATCTATAAAAAGGAGAATGAGAGACAGCATGCCGTGGAGTAGACAGAGATAAAGCCTCACCTCTGACATAGCTTACCTGTGTGACCCTGGATAAGTCACTATCTCTCAGAGCCCTAGGTAGCTTTCTGAGGCCATGAGCCGCAGAGCAGGAATCAGTCTGAATAGGGAGAGGGAATTTCCCTACACCAATGACATCACAAATGGGTCCAGAAAAATGTGGTGACCAAATACCTACCTCTTTGGGAATCTTTATGAGGGTATTGCTTTATAAACTCTAAAGGGCTTTAGAATTGTGACGTTTTGGTTAACTGTTTTAAAAACATCACTCCTGCTGAGATCCCAGGTAGAAACTTGGATGTTTTCAGCCTCTCGGATGTTTGAAGTGCATAGGCCTGTAGAGTGCTATGGATGCTGGCATTTCACCAAGACCATGTTGAGTGGCTATGCTGGGCAGACAGAGCTCGTCTGGCTCAACCTCCTGGTCTTTTTTTCTAAGGAAAATCCAAAAAAACCAAGAGAAGGGATCACATCACTTGTTGTTTTCAGAGCTGGGACTCAAAAACCTTGGTCTCCTGTCTTTTCCAAAACGTCGTGTTGTTCTGGAGGGCGGCCATACTCTAGGACCCATGTATACCCTTTCTTCCCCTGCTTCTCCATTCCTAGGATGCCCTTCCTCCTTACCTCTACCTCCTAAAGCCCCAACTTCCTTCAAGACTTAGCTCAAGGCCTTCCATTGCCAACAGGAACCCTAACCTGACGCCCCCACCCACCCAAGATGTCGGTCCCCCATCCAAGTAGCTCCTTTGTATTTCATTTGTATGTATTCTGAATTGACTTCTCTTTTATGTACATAGAATATAAGCTCTTTGAGGGCAGGTGTTATCCTCATTTTTGTCTTTGTTCCCCTCCTGTCCAGCACCTAGTGATAAGAAAACCTGTGATTTCACTGGTAGAGGGGACTCCCAGAGGAGGAAAGCCCCTCTACCATTGCAGGTCATCACCTTCTGTAACTAACAGTCTTGGGGAGTTGCCTAGAGCCTTTCGAGGCTAAGTGACTTAGCAGGGGTCATCTAGCCAGTATGGGTCAGAGACTGGTCTTGAACCCAGATCTTCCCAGGCCAGCTCATTATCATACAGAAGAGTGATTCTAAGCTACTCTGCACATAGCAGGCACATCGTAAGGACTCGTTGAAAGAGCGCTGGGTCTCAAATTAGATGGCTTGGCTTCAAACCCCACTTTTCGATGCATGCTACCTGGGTGACCTTGACAAGTCACTTAACTTCCTGGGTTTCAGTTATCTCATCTGTAAAATGAAGGCATTGGGCTAGGTGACCTCAGAGGTCCTTTCCGACTCCAGATCTTCGATTCTCAGGACAAATGAAGGCCGACCAGACCAACATCCTTGGGTGGTCCAACAATCAGTATCTTTTTGACCCCTTGGGGGAGGGGGTGGATGGTAGGGGATTAATCCCCAAATTTGTCAGCTCTGCTTCAGCCAGAATCAGGCCCCTGTCCTTAATGCTAAGTAAATACAAATGGATTCCAGCAAGCTTTCTAGCCTGACCGATATATTTTGTAATGGGGTGGAAGAAAAATTATCTTCTCCCTTGATCTCCAAGAGGTGGACCCCTGTTTTTAGTCAAAAGAAATTCCGTCTTCTCAGCAGGAAGGTAATTGGTGATATGGAGAGAGCGGCTTTGTCAAACCTTTGATGTTCTGAGAATCGGCTGGGAGAGATAAAAACAGATCTCTCTCGTTCTCATTTCAGGACCTGAGCCCTGACTTCAAAGCGGGATGTTTCACGGGACCCTCCCCAGCCTCCTCTCTCTGAAAGCCCGTGATATCCAATATGCGAAATCTTGTAGCTCATATCTTTCTTGAGACGACGCTAGGGAATCCCTGAATCCCATCTGGTCATCATTCCGTGTGGGGAAACAAAAACCTGAGGAAGTGTGGTGTCTGCCCGCCCCTTGGTAATTTCCAGGCCCTTATTTCTGCGACCAGAAACTTTTTGTCTTGATTTTCCAGAGTGATGGTAATAATGATTCCCACTGCTATAATCAATCAATCAATCAACAAACATTTGCTAAGCACTTACTCTGTGCCAGATACGTATAAGAGGCAACTATGACAAAATGAAGACTTCCTGAGTGTAGAGACAAAGGAGTTTATGGTACCTGGAGGTCAGTATAGACTAGAATGCTTCAGGAAGTCTTCATAGAGGCTAGATTGAAGCCAGGCCCT